AAGCTTAATACATTTAAAGAAAAAAACAATTCGTGTAAAAGCTAGCATAGTAATAAGTGCTGACATTAAGTTTTTTGGTAATAGTGTAAGTACCTGATATTAATATTTTGGTCACTGAGGCATCCATTACAAAAGAAATCCATCTTGAATAGACATATTGCCAACTGTTTGACACAAATACTAGCAAAACAAGCAGAGAAGGAATTAGGTCACCCTCACTCATGAAGCTCCTTGTTTCCGAAAGCCCTGGGTAACCTAGAAAACTGATCACTTGAGTAACCTTGCTTCTCCCTTCCAGTACCTTAATTCCCACTCAGGCTTTAAATTAACCAATAAGGAGTGAAACGTGAAACCCCAGACACCCCACCCTCAGTTCCTAATAAAGGCAGAGCCCCAGGTCTGCACTCTCCCTATACCTGCAACCTCACTGTGCAGTCCTTGGATGCACCATGTGTCTTAGAGGATCTGTAATAATGCCCGTTCTTCAAAGTTCTCTGATGGTCATTTCTGAGGTATATCTTGAAGTCATAAGAACCATGGGGGCTGATCCAGCCACAACTTTGGTCCCAGTGGGGGAAATGTCTGTGAGGGCTTGCTACAAGGACTATGGGCTTGAGCAAGTGTCTCAGGCATTCCTTTTTTTTTTTCCCCCAGAGAGAGAGAGAGAGAGAGAGAGAGAGAGAGAGAGAGAACAAGCAGGGAGGGATGGAGGGAGAGGGAGAGAGAGAATCTTAAGTAGGCTCCATGCCCAGTGCACAGCCTGATTCGGGGCTCAATCTCACAACCCTGAGATCATGACCTGAGCCAAAATCAGAAGTTGAACACCAAACCAACTAAGCCACCCAGGTGCCCCATGCCTCAGGCATTCTTAGCCAACATCATCATTATCAATAGGCTGGAAGTAACGGGACATCTAATATTACTGTAACTTTGGTTTGTTACTCTAAATCTTGTTTTCTATATTTAGAAACAAATTAGTCTCTTTTAGAGACTAATGCATTTAAAAGATTATTAGCTTGTTTTGGGACACACAATGTATGAAGACATAATTATGTGACATTAACAACCAAAAGAGGTGGATACAGAGCTGTAAAGGTGCAGTTTTTGTATGTTATTGAAATTAAGCTGGTATAAATTCAAATTAGGATGTCAAATATAATCCACATGGTAACTACAAAGAAAATATACACAAAGGGAAATGAGAAAAGAACTTAAACATTTCCATACCAAAAAACCCCAAAAAACCCCCAAAAAACCTAAACACAAAAGACAGTAATGTAGGAAGTGAGGGATGAAAAAAAATCCATAAAGCATATAGAAAGCAAATAACACAATGATAGAAGTCCCTCCTTATCAATAATTACTTTAAGTGTAAATGGATTAAACTCTTCCAGTCAAAAGACAGTGATTGGCAGAACGGATAAAAACACATGATCCATCTTAATAAGATCCAAAGACACAAACAGGTTGAAAGTATCGGGGAAAAAAAAAAATTCCATGCAAAAAGTACCAAAAGAGCAAGTGTGACTATACTAATATCAGACAAAATAGACTTTAAACCAAAAGACTTGGACGAGCCAAAGCCATCCTGACACAGAAGAACAAGGCTAGAGACATTTCCCCATTTCAAACCATATTACAAAGCTTTAGGAATCAAAAGAGTAGGGTATCAGCATAAAACCAGACACACAGATCAATGGGACAAAATTGAGAGCCCAGAAATAAACCTATACATTCATGGTCAATTAATATTTGAAAAGAGAGCCAAGAATGCTCAATAAAGACAGTCTCTTCAACAAATGGTACTGGGGAACTGGATATTCATATGCAAAAGAATAAAACTAGACTCCCCTCTTACACTACTCATAACAATTAGCTCAAAATGGATTAAAGACTTAAATAAATGTAAGACATGAAAACATAAGACTCCCAGGAGAAAACACAGGCAAAAAGTTCTGGCAATGATTTTTTCTTTCTTTTTTTTTTTTTTTGCATGACACATAGAGTACCAGTAACAAAAGCAAAAATAAATAACTGGGACTATATCAAACTAAAAACTTCCGCACAGTAAAATAAATGAGATAAAAAAATGAAAAGGCAACCTATGGAGAGAGAAAATATTTACAAGCCACATACTGGATAAAAGGTTGATATGAAATCATAAAACTCAATAGCAAAACAAACAACCCCCAGATAATCTAATTTAAAAACTGGTAAAGAACCCGAAGACATTTTCCCACAGATATTCAAATGGCCAACAGGTACATGAAAAGGTATCACTATCACTAATCATCAGGGAAATGCATATCGAAACCACAGTGAGATATCACCTCACACCTATTAGAATGGCTGTAATCAGAAAGACAAGAAATAACAAGAGCTGGTAAGGAGGTAGAGAAAAGGGTACCCTTGTACACAATTGGTGGGAATATAAATTAGTGCAGCCACTGTGGAAAACAGTATGGAGGGTCTTCAAAAAATTAAAAATACCACTGCCATATAACCCAGCAATCCCACTTCTGGCTATACGTCCAAAAAATAAAAAATGAAATCACTATCTTTAAGAGATATCAGCTCCCTCATGTGCATTGCAGCATTATTTACAACAGCCAAGAAATGGAAATAATCTAACATCCATCAACAGATGAAGGGATAAGGAAAATGTGGTGTGTATTTTATATTGGAATATTTATATGGAATATTATATATAATACGGAATATTGTTCAGCCATAAAAAATAAGATAAAATCAAATAAAGGGCTAGTATCCAAAATCTAAACCAGCTCTTGTTATCAAGAAGTTATCAAACTCAGGGGCGCCTGGGTGGTTCAGCCAGTTAAGCGTCTGCCTTCGGCTCAGGTCATCATCCCAGGGTCCTGGGATCAAATCCTGCATCAGGCTCCCTGCTCGGAGGGGAGCCTGCTTCTTCCTCTGCCTCTCCCCCTGCTTGTGCTTGGTTCTCTCATATAAATAAATAAAATCTTAACAGCAACAAAAAAAAGTTACCAAACTCAACACCCAAAAAAAACAAAAAATCCAGTCAAGAAATGGGCAGAAGACACGAACAGATGATTCTCCAAAGACATACAAATGGCCAACAGCCACATGAAAAAATGCTCAACATCACTTGGCATCAGGGAAATACAAATTAATCCTCATTTTTACTGTCCTGATCCTTATATTAGCTTAAGGTTTATTCTGTTTTGTCTTATAGCTTCTTGACCAGAAGGTTCAATTTTCTCCCCCCTAAGGTTTATCAATTTCTTATGTGCCAGACACAATAAAGGTACGGGGGACAAAGTGCTGAACAACAAAAGAAGGTTCTGGTCAAGGCAATCTTGGTTTCTTATATCTTATATCCTATCTCTCTTAAGGATATTAATTCTGTACAGAGTTTAGCTCCAGCCACATTCCACAAGTTCAATCATGTTTGCATTTTAATGCAATTCATTCCTGAAAAGTCAATTTCATTTTTAATTTTCTATTGATTCAGGATTTAAATACACGATTATAAATTTTCAAAGAGGTGACAGTCTCTCCACAGATCTTTACAATGGAGAGCTTTACAATGGTATCATCTTATCCAAATGATCAAACTTAGTTTTACTAACAAAGCAATGACCTGTCCTTACACGCTTTCTGACTTGTTGCAATATGACATACAAACATAACCTACAAAGTATTCTCCCCTTAAAACATTTAATCTGAACCTAATGGAGCCCCTAGACCCAATTTCCTTTGTTTTTAAAAATTTCATTTATTTGACAGAGAGAGAGAGAGCACACGCAGGGAGAGTGGCAGGCAGAGGGACAGGGAGAAGCAGGCTCCCCGTTGAGCAAGGAGCCCAATGTAGGGCTCGATCCCAGGACCCTGAGATCATGACCTAAGACACCCAGGCACCATCCCCCCAGTCTTCTTTGTACAGAAAATACAAAGGATAGAAGGTGGCTAAATGACACTATACAGAAACATAAAATCTAAACAAATGGCAGACAATTTTCCTGGACGTCTCAGAAAGTCAACATTATTTAAGAATTTTTGAAAAAGAAATGTTCTAGATCCGTGGCTCTCTATAGTGCATACCAAAATCCCCTGGAAAGCTAGAACAAACACAGAGGTTCAGTGGACCTGGACCTTTGTATTTTTACTAAGATCCACAGATGATTCTGATACCCAAGAAAATGTGAGTCACTGTTACAGACTAAAAAAGAATAAAGAGCGCTAACAACCAAATACAGTACAGAATCTGGAATGCATTCTTAGAAGATGAACCCCTGTAAATGGCATCTTAGAGGCCAATGAAGAAACTGATGAGATAAGATACTGTGGAATTATGGAAAATTTCCTTAAGGGTGATGATGGTACTATGGCTATATATGAGGTTGTCTTTACGTTCGGGAGATACACACTGATGTAATAAAGGGGAAAGTATCCTGGTGTCTAAAACATATTCTCAATGGTACAACATAAAATATACAGAAAAATGTCAAATTGTTAACAACTCTGAATCTACAAAGGGGTATATGGGTGTTCATTCTTTCAACTTTTTCATATGTGCAGCAATTTTCAAGATAAAGTTGAAGAATATATAAATGGATAGGTTTTATTTTGCTATTCTTTTACTAATATTTATCTTAGCTCCTGGACAGAGACATAAATTACACATTTTCTGCCAGTTGATATTTTTATAGACAAATCACTTCAAATGAACTCTCCCTGATTCTTGAACATTTCCTCACTCACTAAATCCCTAGGGTTTCTTTCCAAAATTAACTTTTTGATGTAACTTAAGGAATAAACTCTTAATGAAAATCCTCTTGTATTCTTTACTTCCCATGAAATCTTATACAGAACAAGTTATTTAAAATTTAATAATTAAGGAATGGATGAGGTTTTTCTAAACTATTCACAATAATGCAATTTCCGTCACCAACAATGCTAATGAAACATAAAAGCTGTTCTTTATGAACACAAGCATGTGCCAAATACTCTTTCAAGGATTTTGTGTGTACTAGAACACCTTTATTCCCGTAATTGCATTAGTATGTACTCACTTTTGTTGCCATTTACAAATGATGCACAAAGAGGATAGGCACCTAATGTCACACAGGTAGTGAAATGGCAATGGTGATAAAGCATCTGCCTCAGGTAGACGTTAGCTTACATTTGTTCCAACAACAGTTTTCCTCCAGTTTGAGTTTGAAGGCTTTTCTAAGTGTATGAAATTAACATACCTAGGAATATATCTTTTATGATTAGTAAATTGTGAACATGAAGGCTACTCTGTATTTCTTTATAAACTTTCTCACCAGAATGTCCTCTCAACACTAAGGTGTTTGCTGTGACTGTAAATCTTTCCATGTCACTCATACTCAAAATTCCTCACCAGCAGGAATACTGTACTGTTGAGCAAATCTCAGTCCACGATGAAAGGTCTTCCCACATTTTATATTCATAGAATTTCTTGCCACTATGAACTCTCTGATGTTAAGTTGTTCATATCCAGTGGTTTTCCCACATTCCTCATATTCATAGGACTTCTGACGATTATGAATTTTCTGATGTCGAGTAAGCTGACCATTCACAGTGAAGGCTTTCCCACATTCTTTACATTCATAGGGCTTCAGACCTGTATGAATTCTTTGATGGGCAATAAAAACTGACCTAAGTCTAAAGGCCTTCCCACATTCCTTACATCCATAAGGTTTCTCACCAGTATGAATCCTCTCATGCTGAATAAGGTTTGAGTTACAACTAAAGGTCTTTCCACATTCTTTACATTCATAGGGTTTCATACCTGTATGAATTCTCTGATGAGCGGTAAAGACTGAACTAAGTCTAAAAGTTTTCCCACATGCCTTACATTCATAAGGTTTCTCACCAGTATGAATTCTCTGATGTACAGTAAGTTCATAATTATTGCTAAAGGCCTTTTTACATTCCTTACATTCATAGGGCTTCTCACCAGTATGAATTTTAACATGTTGAATAAGGTTTGAGCTACGACTAAAGGCCTTCCCACACTCCTTACATTGATATGGTTTCTCACCAGTATGAATCCTCTGATGTACTCTAAGTTCGCTACCACAAGTAAAACATTTCCCACATTCCTTACATTCATAGGGGTTCTCACCAGTATGAATTCGGTAATGTCCAAGAAATTGGTAGTGATGTCGAAAGGCCTTTCCACATTCTTTACATTCAAAGGGTTTCTCACCAGTGTGAATTCTCTGATGTACTCTAAGGTCTATACCACGACTAAAGCTCTTTCCACATTCCTTACATTCATAGGATTTCACGCCTGTATGAATTCGCTGATGTTCAATAAGTTGGTACTGATGTCTGAAGGCTGTCCCACATTCCTTACATTCAAAGGGTTTCTCACCAGTATGAGTTTTCTGATGTCGAGAAAGTTGTAGGTGAAGTCTAAAAGCCTTTCCACATTCTTTACATCCATAGGGTTTCTCACCAGTATGAATACTCTGATGTTGAACGAGATTCGAGCCACGATTGAAGGCCTTGCCACATTCCTTACATTTAAATGGTTTCTCACCAGTATGAATGTTCTGATGTCGAGTAAGCTGTGTCAGAAGAGTAAAGGCCTTTCCACATTCCTTACATTCAAAGGGTTTCTCCCCAGTATGCATTCTATGATGTTCAATAAGTCGGTAATGATACCTAAAGGCCTTCCCACATTCCTTACATTCAAAGGGTTTCTCACTAGAATGAATTTTCTGATGCTGAACAAGATTTGAACCACGATTAAAGCCTTTACCACACTCTTTACATTCATATGGTTTCACGCCAGCATGAATACTCTGATGTTGAACAAGGTTTGAGACACGATTAAAGGACTTCCCACATTCTTTACATTCAAATGGCTTCTCACCTGTATGAATATTCTCATGGCGATTCAGCTGGGTGAGAAGACTGAAGGCTTTCCCACATTTCTTACATTTAAAGGGCTTCTCACCAGTATGAAATTTCTGATGTCGAATCAGTTGTATATGGAGTCTAAAGGCCTTCCCACATTCTTTACATTCAAATGGTTTCTTTCCAGTATGAACACTCCGATGTTGAATAAGGTTTGAACCACGACGAAACATTTTCCCACATTCCTTACATTCATAAGGTTTCACACCTGTATGAATTCGCTGATGCTCAATAAGTTGGTACTGATATTGGAAGGCTGTCCCACATTCCTTACATTCAAAGGGTTTCTCACCAGTATGAGTCTTCTGATGCCGAGAAAGTTGTAGGTGAAGTCTAAAAGCCTTTCCACATTCCTTACACCCATATGGTTTCTCACCCGTATGAATACTCTGATGTTGAACAAGATTCGAGCCACGACTGAAGGCCTTGCCACATTCCTTACATTTAAATGGCTTCTTGCCAGTATGAATGTTCTGATGTCGTGCAAGCTCTATCAGAAGACTAAAGGCCTTCCCACATTCTTTACATTCAAAGGGTTTCTCACCAGTATGAATTCGACAATGTTCAATAAGTTGGTAATGATATTTAAAGGCCTTCCCACATTCCTTACATTCAAAGGGCTTCTCACTAGAATGAATTTTCTGATGCTGAACAAGATTTGAACCACGATTAAAGCCTTTCCCACACTCTTTACATCCATATGGTTTTATGCCTGTATGAATACTCTGATGTTGAACAAGGTTTGAGCTACGATTAAAGGACTTCCCACATTCCTTACACTCAAATGGTCTCTCACCTGTATGAATATTCTCATGGCGATTAAGCTGGGTAGGAAGACTAAAAGCTTTCCCACATTCCTTACATTTAAAGGGTTTCTCACCACTATGAAATTTCTGATGTCGAGTAAGTTGGACAAGAAGTCTAAAGGCCTTCCCACATTCCTTACATTCATAGGGTTTCTCTCCAGTATGAATACTCTGATGCTGAATAAGATTTGAACCACGACTAAAGTACTTCCCACACTCCTTACATTCATATGGCTTATCTGTAGTGTGAATAAGAGAAGTATGATGAGTAGAAGTATGCATCTTTTCATAGCTTATTATCTTTTGAGTGATATACCCCTCTTGATGTCCCTGTTGTCCCCTAAATCTATTTCTGCATTTTGAGTCATTTCTAAAATTGGAGGTTTTAAGGTCAAGAGTTTTACTTATTTGCTTTATACTCTGTTTAGGCAAATTTATTTCATGAATATCATTTTCTGGAGATAACTTCTCAGCTCCATAATTTGACTCCAAATCTGAAAGAAAAGGAGAAAGCAAACACATTTTATCTTCCTGTACACACATGCACAAAATCCACTAAAGAATATATAACTCTAAAAATATACATACAGAAAAATTTTTTAAATATATATTGAAGTATACATAATACACTTTCAGAGAATTTGAAAAAGGTAAGAAGAGCTCCAAAAATGAAGAAAGTTTATGTTAGATGGTGATGCTCATAATAGGGGAAGAGATTAACTTTGTGAAATTTAGGTGTTAATCAAAATCCTTTGGGAGACTTGTTACAAATATTGATATTCAAGCAATTCAGATGCACAGAATCAGAATTTTTAGGAATAAGTCATCAGATGCTGTATTTTTAACATCTCTATCAGATAATTCTGATGCAGATCAAAGTTCAAAGATCCATACTTAAAACTGTTTTGAATGGTTTGTCTTTACTCTTATACTAAAATCCAAAACCCTTACCACGGATAACAAGACCACCTATGAAGCCACTGTCATCCTTTGGACCCTATCTCTACCACACTGCCTTCTTTCAGTGCTTCAAACATATAACCTTTCTTCAATATCTTCATGCTTTGGTCAGACTGTTTAATCACCCAAGAATCCTGTGGCCTGAGCTGCTTGTAGGAGACAACATTCTCATTTTTAAGACTGAAAAGAAATGTCTTCCTCAGAACAGCTATACCTGCTGGCCCCATCTAATCTATATCCCTCTCCTCTATTCTCTATTCAAGAGTCTCATTCCTTGCCTTCACAATTCTGTTTTAATTATACGTTCATTCATTCATTAGCTCATTTTTCATTCTGTGTATTTTCTTATTCCTAAATCTGCCCAGGAGCAGACACAATCCTGATAGCATTCACCACTGAAATAATAAGCCCATAGCACACAACAGGTGTTAAGTAATTGGAAAACTATTGATAAAAGAAGTAAGGCTGAGAATAAAGGTATATAATGCAAAAATGAGGCACTGGGAAAGGCTTATCATAATAATCATTCATTCAAAACTACTAAAATTGATAAATAGAACCATTCTCATATTACTTGTTTCAAATGGGAACAGATGCGTATCTGAGCCCAAGTGGTCATGTACATGTCACAATGGGAAAACAAACCACAGTAAACAGGTAGAAACTTGAAGCTTGAACCTTAACTAGGTTGACTGCCTGCTGAAATATATCACAAAGGTAAAGAAAATCAACAGATAACAACATTGAGATGACAGATGTTTGCATTACCTGACAAAGACTTTAAAACCATAATTGTGCAAATGTTTCAATAAGCAAACACAAATACTCTTGAAACAAATGGAAAAATAGAGAATCTCAACAAAAATACAGAGGATATAGGGAGAGTTCTGAAAAGATGGTGGAGTAGAAGGATCCTGGGCTCACCTCCTCCCACAGACACACCTAGATAACAGCCACATCAGTGTAACTATGAAAATGACCTGAGAATGGCAGAACAGACTTCCCACAGGCAATCGCAGAGAGTGGGGTGGAGATGCAGTTGGGAACGAAACCCCAGTAAGAATAACCACAAACAGGAGGGACACCACAAACACAAAGAAGCAAGAGGATCAGATTCCACACCAGGCACCCCAGGTATGGGGGACCCACACTGGGAAGATAAGTCCCATTACATTTGTTTTGAAAACCAGTGGGGCTTAACTCTGGGTACACTTCAGTAGGCTTAGGTTCTGGGAGAGCCAGAGGGTGACAGGAAACTTGAGTCCCTATCCTTTAAGAGCCAGCATAACAACCAACCTGCTGAGAAAACAGCAGAGAAGCAGCGGTTTGAAAAGCGCCTAAGGTATACATAAAGAACATTTATTTACTAATCTCATAATGTGTGCTGGAGGGATGGGAATCTTTAGGAAACTTCCCCAAGAACAAAAAAGCTGGTGGAACCATTCCCTGCCCACCCCCAACCGCTGCCTAGATAGCTGGAAGCTTTAGGGAACCAGTGCAAACACACAGCACCTACCTTGCTAGCACTGCATGCCCCACCTTCACATTCTCCTGAGGATCTGCCCCATCCAACCCACCCCACTCTGAAGGGGCTCCAGCCCCAACACACCATGCAAGCAGCACCAGTCGGGACCAGTGCCACTCCAAAGTGACTCTCGCTTTGTGGAGAGCGGAAGGATAACGACACACACCGGTGTGCCCATAGTTCCAGCAACTGAACCTTATAGTCAGCAGTACAGAGAGTACCCTGCTGATCAGTGCGACTTCAGCCCTGGCAGATGGATTAGGAGTAGGCACTTTGACTGCCAGCCCTGCCCACCAGTGAACAACAGGACCTGCCCCCTCTCAGAGGGCAAGGCAGGGAGAGTGCCTTGCAAGCTGGTACAACTACAGCCCCAGCAGACAGGCTGAGAGCAGGCATCTAGTCTGACTACTGACACCACCGAACTGCAAGCCCCCAGTGGCCCCCAACAGACCCCTTAACAGCACAGAGACCAAACCTTGCCCAGAACAGGCAAAATGGGCCATTGCAGCCAATGGGCTGAAGGCAAAACAGGTTCTGCCACAAGAGCAGAGCACAGGCAACCCACATAGGAGACACCCCTGAAGCACCTCGTTCTGGTGAATGACAGACACTGTACCCCAGGGCACCATAGGACCTTCATAAGGTCACTACTTTCTTTCTTTCTTTTTTAAAATATTTAACTAATTTATTTGACAGAGGGAGAGCGAGCACAAGCAGGGGGAGCAGCAGAAGGAAAAGGAGAAGGAGACTCCCTGCTGAGCAGGGAGCCTGATGTGGGGCTGATGGGATCATGACCTGAGCCGTAAAGGCAGACACTTAACCAACTGAGCCACCCAGGTGCCCCGAGGTCACTACTTTCAAGATCAAAAGCTGTAAGTGACTTTCCTAATACACAGAAACAAATACAGTTGTATAAAATGAGAAGACAGAGGAAAATGTCCCAAACAAAAGAACAGGACAAAATCACAGCAAAAGGGCTAAATGAAACAGAGATAAGCAATGTATCTGATAAAGAATTCAAAGCAATCATCCTAAAGATACTCACTGGACTTGAGAAAAGAGTGGATGATCTTAGTGAGACCTTTGAAAACAAACAGTAAATATTAAAAAGAACTAATCAGAGATGAAAAACTAAATGACAAATAAAAATACACCAGAGGGAATCAACAGCAGATTAGAGGAAGCAGAAGAATGGATCAGGGACCTTGAAGGTAGGGTAATGAAAAGCAATCAAGTTGAACAGCAAAAATAAAAATAATAATAAAAAATGAGAATAGATTAAAAAAACTCAGCAACACCAAGTATAATAACGTTTGCATTATAGGGATCCCAGAAGGAGAAAAGAGAAAAATGGGGCAGAACATTTACTTGAAGAAATAATAGCTGAGGGGTGCTTGGTTGGCTCAGTCAGTTAAATGTCTGCCTTTGGCTCAGGTCATGATCCCAGGGTCCTGGGATCAAGCCCTGCATTGGGCTCCCTGCTCAGCAAGAAGCCTGCTTCTCCCTCTCCTTCTGCCTGCCATTCTGCCTACTTGTGCACACACTCTCTCTCTGTCAAATAAATCAATAAAATCTTAAAAAGAAAAGAAAAGAAAAGAAAAGAAATAATAGCTGAAAACTTCCCTATCTGGAGAAGGAAACAGACATCTAGATCCAGGAAGCACAGAGAGCCCCCAATAAATTAACCGAACAAGGTCCACACCAAGACACGTGGTAATTAAAATGGCAAAAAGTAATGATAGAGAATTTTAAAAGCATCAAGAGAAAAGAAAAGTTATATACAAGAGACACTCTCTAAGGCTATTCTGTTGATTTTCAGCAGAAACACTGCAGCCAGAATGGAACAGCATGATATATTCAAAGTACTGGAAGGAAAACCTGCAACCAAGAATACTCTACCCAGCAAGACTATCATTCAGAATAGGAGCGATAGTCTCTCATACAAACAGAAGTTAAAGGAGTTCATCACTTAAACCAGCCTTACAGGAAACGTTAAAGGGAGTTCTCTGAATGGAAAGAAAAGGCCATAATCAGGAGTAAGAAAATTATGATAGGAAAAAATTTCACAGGTAAATGCAAACATATAATAAAAGCAGATTAATCACTTATAAAACCAGTATGGAGGTTAAAGCACAAAAGTAGTAAAATCAATTATATCTATAAAAAATCAGCTAAGGGAGTCACAAAATAAAACGATGTAAAATATGACATCATATGCATAAAATGGAATGGGGGGAGTAAAAATTTAGTTCTTTTAGAATGGATTTAAATTTTAGCAACCACCAACTTAATATACACTGCTATATACATAAGATGAACCTAACGGTAACCACAAATCAAAAACCTATAATAGATACACAAAAAAATAAAGAGAAAGGAATCCAAGCATAACACTAAAGAAAGCCATCCAACCACAAGGGAAGAGAGGAAGAGAAGAAGAAAGGAACAGAGAACTACAAAAACAACCATAAAACAAGTAACAAAATGGCAATAAGTACATATCTATCAATAATTACTTTAAATGTAAATGGCCCAAATGCTCCCATCAGAAGACTATGATGACTGAATGGATAAGGAAGCAAGATCCATCTATATGCTGCCTACAAGAAACTCACATAAGGCATAAAGACACATGCAGACTGAAAGTGAAGGGATGGAAAAACATCTACCATGCAAACAGAAGTGAAAAGAAAGCTGTGGTAGCAATACTTATATTGGACAAAATACACTTTAACATAAAGATTGTAACAAGAAACAAAGAATGACATTATATAATGATAAAGGGAACAATTCAACAACAGGATTTAACAACTGTAAATATTTATGCACCCAGCATAGGAGCACCTAAATACATAAAGCCACTATTAACAGACATAAAGGAAGAAACTGACAGTAATACAATAACAGAAGGGGACATTAACACCCCATTAAATCAATGGATAGATCATTCAGGCAGAAAATCAACCCAAGGAAACAGTGGCTTTGAATGACACATTGGACCAGATGGAC